AGCAGGAATTGTTGAAACAGAAGGCAAAAGGTCCTCCTTTTATTGGTTTACGCATGTATAGTGTCCTAGAAGTAGCATTCTGTGAAAGTAACTGTAAATAGCGAATACATACTAAACACTAAAGCATTCTTTTGACCTTGTCAATTAGAAGATGACCGTTACGGTGTTTCTGACCTCTCATATCCCTACAGGACGCAAAATTAAAGGAAAAGGAAGAGGCGGAAAGATAGCTCAAGGTGCACACAAAGGAAAAGTACAGTTTCAGGGCAAGAAAATAAAGTTTGAGAATGAAGAAGAAGGTGGCAAAGATAATATTAAACCAGGTATGTCATTCTGCACACTGGCTGCAGTTTCTTCAGTACATGGAGCTACTTTCTGGAAAAGTACTCGTGTTTTACAGGTGTTTCAGATTTGGCCCTATATTGTAGTATTTCTGTCCTCTGTCAGCATCAGTGAAGTAACTTTAAGAATCTTCTGCTCGATTCCTTCCAGAACTGTCTAAAAGTGTATAAAAAATTACTAGATAGCTCTGGCTGTACTGCAGGGTTGTTCAAATCATTCTGCATTGAAAGATGGTGGTTGCCAGCAATATTACACAACTGCACAGAGCCAGTCCCTTGAGTGGTCATTTTTTTTTTCTATTTCCTCGAGAATGCAAGAGGACTGAAAGTTCTGCATATTGGTATTTAGCTTGGAATAAGATGAAGAGCTAAGCTTCTGTTCGTTGTATTATACAGCACCTACATAAACAAAACCCAGTGAAACCTACTCTGTTAGACTGTATTCCTTCACCTTCTTACCTGCCCTCCTGCTGTATACAGGGAAGGAAGCTTTGCAAAGTTAGTATTTTAAAACATCTAAAAACTGAAACACATAGTTGTAAGTAAAGCCTCTAGCACATAAGTGGCTTTGGATAAACTAGGACTCATCATTGAACTTACATGGTGTAATGGTTTGAAAGCAAACCAGTGAGAGACTCCAAGTCAGAAATACAATTTAATAGGAAAAATAAAGTAAATGCAGTAGTACAAAACAAACAAACCAAAACCACAGAGAGAGTGTCAGAATACAACCTGATACTCTCTTAGGGTGGTGGTAGCAGTCCAAATGAAGTGGTCTTGTTGAAGCAGTGATCCCGTAGAAAGGTCTGGTAGCTCTTGTCCTCTGGAAATCCAGTGGGTAAGGGCCCTTGTCCTGTCCTGAACCCCAGATTATATCCAGTTGGGAGCTGTTGGCTCCTCCCCCTTGGGCAGAGCATCTCACAATGGGCTGATGTCATTCTACCTGTCATGCGGTGGGTCTTTGGTTGGCCATTAAATGGAGATTACCCGTTAAATGGAGAGAGCTCCCCGAGGGAGTTCTCTGTGAGTCATGGGACAAGGCATCGATGGGCCTGTTAGCAGAGAGGACTCCTCCTGCTGGGTGGGAAGGTGTTAACATCTCCCTGGACCTCCTTTCTTACCTGTTGTAGCCTGGGGTATGAGGTGTGTCCTGAGCAGCTACTACCAATGATTTGTTAACAGCCCATTAGCAATGACATAGAGAATATACAGTTTTTGGTTATACCCACATAATGATAAACTGGTCCCAGCCCCTGTAACTATGACACATGGTAAAAAGGCTTTGGGTTTTTCTTTAGAATATTTCAGTAATACTGAAGTGCTATCCTTTACTGCAAATGACTGCATATTCAATCTTGCAGAACCAGCAAGTCCCAAGAAGAGACCACTAGAGGAAATGGAAAAAGAAGAACCTGCACCAAAACAACTGAAAACAGAAAATGGAGATGGAGATCAGTAATACAAAAATTTTTACAATGACAAAAAAATAATTGTTTTTATTGTTCCATTTTCAGTATGTTTTAAGGACACGCTTCAGTTCTGGAGTTTCTTGGCAGAAAACCTAATGAAATCCACTTCAATGTCAACCTACAATGAAAGGAAAGCTTCATTTTCTCGGGTTACAGCTTTTTTTTTTTTTTTTTTTTTATTAGAAGCATGCTTACTTTTAACATACCACCATGAAAAACTCTTTTGTATTTATAGTTTTGTTTATACTGTCAGATCTTCTCAATGCATCTGGCACCTCATTCAGATGTAAAAGGTTCTGGACTTTGTAATCTTGTGGTTATGTTAAATAGCAACTGCCAATAAATTCAGAACTTGTAACTGCTTACTACTGAAGCCTGTATGTTAATGTAGTTTAAAGCTGTTAACTGTGAAGTAGCAAAGCTGAAGGCCAGACTTCAGTCATTCAAGTTGCCAAGAGAATAGGTACAGCTGCATAAAGCTTCTTGTGTTTGCTACTGATGACACCTAACAATCTCAGATCTTGCTCAGTCTACTCCAGGGATTCTCTCTACTTCCCTTATGGTAAGGGGATATGTGTCTTCTGGCCAGCATTCAGCACCCAGGAAACTGTGGCCTTAAGCTTCCATACTTTAGGATCCTGACAAGATCTTCTATTGTGGGATGAAATGCACAGTTTCTTTCTGCCTCTTGTGAGATGGTTCTGTGAGGGATTTCATGGGCTGTAGCTATTCACAGTACAGAGCACAGGATCAAACAATAACTTTTTCACATCTAGTTGCAATGCTGACTTTGGTCTTTGTATCTTTGACTTGCACTACACTAACTCTTCCCTGTCAACTACAGTAAAAGCAATGGAACTTGGATGCCATCAGAGTGAACTCTGATGTGGTGTTAGCATTCTTCACCCAGTACATACGGCCCTAAAACAGATTTTTTTTTTTTTTGTAAGTAGAATTTATTTCCTGCGTAGTACAAGACAGAGCATTTTCTCAGTTACATTAGGTTTTTACTTACTGATTTCTTCTTATGAAACTTGTATGATGCTGGTAGGTCATATCTAAGTTCTGTGAACAGTACAAAGAATACTTGTTACACTACAATAGTCATTTGACATCCACCCTACACCCATGCTCTTTTATTTCTTCTGCTGCCTACCTCTGTTGCCCCCTGACTAGATAATGGGTTTGACCTTTGAACTAGATTATGACTGAACATTGAAGCTGACCACATCAGACAGTGAATGGTAGAAATGCAGTTGTTTAAAGGCTTGGTGCAACTTCCATGTCTCAAGTTGTATGACTGTAAAAAGCATCCAGCTGGTGATATTTCACAAAGATACTTGAACAACTGTCAGATAAATATTTAGGTGACTATAAGGACAGGATTTTTTTTTTGTCTGAAACTGACCTGCACTTTGCTTTTGTTAGCAACAGGCTAACTTTGAAGCAGGAAGGTAGGTAACTTCTGCTTGAAGGCAAATTTAGTCCAGGAGGAAATCCAATTGTAATTCCCCACTGAGTATATATTCCTCAGAGCTTTATCAAGTGCCTGCTTGTATTCTAGCCAGGTAGCAAGGTGTGTGTATATATATATGTACACACATATATATACTTACGTGTGTATGTATATAAGAAGCACTGCTTAGAAAAAGACATGTCATTTTCAGCATTAAATCACACTTAAGTTTATCTCAGGCTGTTAAGACTGGCTAGTAATGTATAGATATTAGCCACCCCAAAAATGTGGGGTTTTTTTTCTCTTTAACAATAAATGAATCTTACCTGCTATGACTTCCATCTTTACTTCCCATTCACCTGCTTTCTTCTGAATGTACTACAATATTAAGTAGATACAGGTAAATTTAAAAGCTTGTTTCTGCACTGTCTTCTAAACATCTACAACCCTTATAGGAGTCCACTGTGCTTTTGTTTTTCAAGCTGAAACATCACATACTTACCTGGATGTACATGCGATCAGACTTACTTGATATGGTTAGTATTTACCCAAAAGTTTCATACCCCATAAAGGTGTGAACACATCAGTGAAGCTACAGACAATGATTAAATGCCAGCTGTTTCTCTGCTTGATTAATGCTCACCCTACTAAAATAAAGGCCTTACCTGCCGTGTTGAAGTTTTGTGAAGGGAATATACAGCTGTCTTTGCCACTTGTAAAGCAGTTTTCAGGAATATCATATCCATTCCTAAAAGAATGATTAGAATTGTTAAAAGCAAGCTCAAACCAGAGCATTTCCAGATCTGCTTTGTGCTTCAATTTTTCTAGAGTAATAGCTATTTGAGAAACAGCACTGAGTATGTTAAGGTACAAGAAAGTGCTTTTAGAATTTACCCAATTGCTTTTAGTAAGAGAACAATGGTATGAATTAGCTAGTATTGTTTATTTCAAATGTAGCAATTGTTAGATACAATGTTGAAGTTGTTAATCTGTGTTTAGGAAACTGATTCCAGGTAATTGTAATGGATGGGTCATTAATGATAGGTAATTGTAATAAAGAAGGGAGATGTTTCATTACAAGTGTTTCCCTTGCTGTTTCATTCCTAATACTTTTTAACTGACTTTCAGAATTACCAACCTTTATTATGCTTGGTACCAAATGGAGGGTTCATAATAACTGTGTCAAAAGTCTCTGACATGCTGTCAGATAAGGAACACACATCGCACTGAACCATGTTGACATTCGTGAGTTCAAAGTCTTCAATATTTCTATTAAATATTTCCAATGCGTCTGCATCTATGTCAAACCCCACACACAATCTATGAAAAACAAGAAGTGCCATGTATTAGTCTCCTGCAAACTAAAATAGCATTTAAATTCTATAGGTTTCGAAAGGGATATGTGTACACAACTTATTTTATCTCAGAAATGTAACAAGCATACACTATAAATTCAGTGCTGATAAAAATATGAGGAGTGCTGTTGACCTTTCTCCAATACCCTTCAAAGTTTGTGAAGGAAGTTTCATGTGTCCACTTAATGCGTCAGGGGAAAGCAAACACTGTCTTCCAAACACGTGGCAACTGTCCATCTCCTTCACTATCTGAATGATTACTGATTGTCAAAACATAATAAAAAGCCTCATTATGCATCGTATTAGATATCTAAAATTAGTTTAGTTCAGCATTGCTATGTTCTCCTCTTCTACATCAGAAAACAACACAACCAGAACTTACTTACCCTGCTCCTAACATTGCACTTCCAATGCTGAGCATGCCACAACCACATCCCAAGTCTGCAATTGTTTTGTTTTCAATATCATCAAAAGTATTGTGAATTGTATAAAGCATACACGCTGGGGCGGGGGGGAGGAAAACAAACACAGGTCAATAATAGCAAATATGCATCTGATTAATCAAGAAAAGCTACTTCTGTCTTCAGAAAACTCTGAACTAAAGGTTTCTGGTCACAAAAAAACTAAGCTGTTGTTCTCACTGCCTGTAATTCTTTTTCATTTGTATGTGAAAACAAGTCAAACTCATTTTGACCAGTTATACAACACTAGATCTTTGGTGGGGAGATAACAACGTAGAGCTGTGAGTATTGTTTGTGGAAAAAGCATGCCTCTAAATTTGTTTGGGGAGAGACAGAAAATAGTGGGAAAACAAACAAACAAAGACTTAAAGTATGGATGAGTGTCTAAATGCATTTTTACTGTATTTTGTGTGTCACAAATTAAGTCCATTTCAGGTTTCTCTTCACAGATTAAGATGTTTCAATCACATTATCTTTTAAATCAATTTACTTGATTTTTGGATAGTACATTAACAGTATACTCTTAATTAATAGAAGCTAACAGAGCATTAAAAAT